ATAAATATGAGCTGCCACTCGACTAAAAAGGCAGATCAGTTAATGCACATTAAAAAAAAAGGTTATTGGTTTTCCTAAGTTACTGTGATTAGACGTGCCAACACTCACACAGAGAGGGACACACACATATCTACAGCTGCAGTGTTTGATCTTGCCAGTGCATTCTGTACCCTTCACACAGATGAAAGACTGGCAGGCAGTCCTGGAGGCTGACCAGCTCTAAGGCATGTTTCCTGATCCCTCAGCCCTCCATTTCCCCTCTGATTCTTCCCTTCTCTTCCCATCCTTTGTTATACTTTTCCATCTATTTATTTATTCTGAACACTTTCATTTACACCATGAAGACTGTACTTTCCGATACGCAAAGAAAGGGCAAAAGAAATGGTTAAGGTGCACCAGTGCATACAAATGTTAGGTGACGCTGAACGATTAACAGATATGTCGAGGCCAGCTGGCCAGCACATGCAGAGATTGGCCTTGGCACAGCTAAGAGAACACCTTGCTTCCCTGTCCCAATGCAAACATCTTCTCATAACCATTTCTAGTACCAATCACTATAAAATGCCAACAATGACAAGATATGAGATTTAGAGTGCTAAACTTCTACAGTATTAGGTGTCACTAGAGGTAAATCTATATACATCTTGTCATAATGTTTCCAGACACACTCTGCTTATTGAATATTCTTTCCCATCTGTCATCCTTCTCGTCTCTCCCTAGCATCCCATCTTTTTCTTTTGTCCTTTTGTTTTTCACCCTCTCTGGGCCTCCTGAGACATGGAGCGCCCCAGGGCTTTGGGTGCTTTGGCAAACTCCATGAGGGTCGGCTTGACTGGAGGGAGATCTCTGGTGATTTCATCCACCGTCCTCTTGCTGGGACACACTCCATCTGGAGTGGGAAATGGCTGCAGGTCCTCCAATGTGTGTGGCGCTCCACGTCCGAGCCTGACGCCCAGCTCTGCGGGGGTAAAGATGGGCAAGGGGAGGGTGTTTCTCTTTGGAAGCAACTGGTGCTCCCTGACCCCTCTTTCCACTGTGCCCACCCTAAAGACACCAGAGGGACACTTCTGTGTCAGTGAACGTGCCTGCCACTGCCGGGACAGAGTCTCCCTACGAGAAGTGTCGTTCATGTTCATGGTCTGCCTGTGGGCATCAAAGGAAAGTTGAAGTTAGAAACTACTGAGGGCCTTATTGTAATTTACCTTCCCAATTAACATTTAACTGCTTTTCACTATGAGAATAATTTTCAAGTCAATCTTCATCCATATTTTATGAGAGTAAGAAAAGTTTGAAATTACAGCCTAGTGAATGTTTTCCTCTCATTTAAAAGCAACTTATCATGTTATAGGGTCTTACCTAAAATAAGACATGATCTCATTGGTCCTACCTGTCTTGAGGTTGAGTCTTGAGACTAACGCTGTGCCAGTCAGCAGTATAGCTCTCCCTCTGAGCCTTGTTGTCTTCCCTCACACTGCAGGTCAGCTCAGCTCCCACCAGCACACCATTGCTCTTCTCCAGCACGGTACAGATTGGCATCTTCTCAGGTGCAGATAGATTTATCGCCTTGAGTGGGTCTTGTTGATCAGTCCTAAGGTAACAGGAAACAGTGATGCTTCAGTCGGCTTTACCTCTACTCTTCCACTATCTCTGTCCTTCTTAGTGCTGTCTATGTCCAGGCTTAGGACTGTCCACAGCTTTTATAGATGCTCTGTTTCTATTTTGGATTCATGTTGTCACTCTACAATCAGTGTGCTTGGACATCTGACACCAAGTCCTCCGTGCCTCATTCCCTGACAGCTGGAAGTTTCCCTGCAGTGGGGTTCAGGGGTAATATGGCTGAAAATCCCCTGATTCTCAAATTGAATGCTGGGCCTGCTCTTGTAATCACTCAGCCCAACTCTTTCCACTTCACCTGTGATCACAGAGGGGGAAATATTACAGAAACTATGGATGGAATAATGTAAACATGTACACAGACAGACACAAATGGTTTAGACTTAGCAGAGGAATCTTAATAAGATTATAGCCATGATATACACAAAGCAGCAAAGGAGAGCCAACCGAAGCCAACCCTGTAGAGCCAGAAACTACCCACTAATTTTCAGTCCAGTTCTTTCTTTTTTCTTTTTTGTAAACAGTTACTTAAAAATCCATCACGTGACTCGACGGTTTTAACTAATTATAAGCCAATCTTCAACCTTCCTTTCATCTAAAAACAATCTTGAAAAAGTAGATGTGAAACAGCTGATAATCTGCAGAGGGATGGTTTATTTGAAGAGTTTCAGTCAGGTTTCAGAACTCATTACAGTACAGAAGAAGCTTTAGCGAAGGTTACAAATGATCATCTTATAGCCTCTGACAGTGGACTCATCTCTGTGCTCTGTCATGGTTTGGGGGATTTTGTCAGAGTAGATTGATGCAACCCTCAGATTTTGATTCACAATGCAGTTCTATCTGGCGTGTTAAGTGTTTGACTGCTTCATTTTTCAGCATGACATTGATCCCAAACACACTCCCAATGGAGGAAAAGAATATATATATGGAAAAACACACTGGAGCACTATTAGTCATGGATTGAAACCCGTATTTCTAAAGATGACTGAAGAATTTCTGAAGAAATTACAAAAGCTTGCCTACCAGCATTCAGGTTAAAGAATAAAGGTGGCCATACCAAGCTAACTTTTGCAGTCTAATTTGATGATTGGCAGCACACGCCATCTCTTGGATCAAAATTCATGAGTAATTTGCTTGCTTATAATGTAAGATAAACAAGCAAATACCTGACTAAATATTTATAACAACATGGGAAAATTATCTAAAGTTTGTGTTAACCACAATATTTTAGACATGAAGCCAAAAAACATCAAAATGAGAACCAGGATAAAGAAATGCAAAATTATGTCCATGCTTTAGGACAGCATTTGTCAAGCTAGCTGACAAATTAGCATTTCACACACTTGCCTAAGTATTGTCACCTCTGGCTCCAAAAAACAAAAATAACACGGAAGCTATAGAGGGTGTAAAATGTGAGTTCACAAACCACATTATGTCACAGTGGCAACATCCATCTTTTATATACAGTCAGTTGTGAGAAAAATGGTGAAAAAGCCATACAAATAGCAGTGTCATTTTTCTCATGCTGTTTTTTTTATTCATAATACAGCTTTGAATAAGTTTATACCCCCGCCAGGCTTCATGACAACATCATACCCCCTCATTAGATGCCATTACACTGCGCTGTCTCACAGTAGCAGTGAGAGCTCAGTCTCCAGTGATTCATTACCTCAGTGAAAGAGCGCCATGCAGGCCATAATCAACTCGGGTAACAGGCTGTGAAACACACACACACACACTCACACTCACCTCTGACAGTTATCTGCTGGTCTGATGTTACTACCGATTCCCGTTTCTGACTCACTAATCCACATCAGGTACTGATATCATCATATACCAGATATCATATACTTCAGACACAGCATAAAATATAATCATCCCAAGCAAAAGAAGCCTGATGTGTTAATCGATTTTTTATTTTCTTTTAAGGTTTTTGCTGTACTGTGCCAGATTGTCTGAAAAACAAATATGATCATAACTTTGTGATTCTTTGAGTATATTTCTTGACTTCGGGTAAATTAATGCTATTCCTCACCACTGACTCTTCGTGTCGTGCATATTTAAGGCAACAGTTAAAGGCTAACATCCATTTGCCTGCAAATTCCAAAAATATTTCACTTTTCTTTCAACAATCTCCCAGCAGGCTGCCAGTACATATGTAAAATGTCGCTCAGTGTCATACTGAGAAAAGAAAACGATAAGCATCTCCTGGGTCATTGATTCAGTCATGTTATGACACCATGACAACCTTGAATGCCATTTCAGAAACCCAGTAAGTCACCATGCAAGCTCCTTCTGTGTTGAGGTCATGTCTTATTAGAAGCTACTTTATGTGAAGCAGTCAGTTGTAATACACAGAGTGACAATTTAAATTTGTGCTGTCTATTTATTTGTACACGCACAAGCCAAAATCCAAGAGGCCATCAGATAGCCCTGTCCTAGCTGTTTTCGGGTGAGTCATGCTATGCAAATGGAGCCAGGGGTGTGTGTATAGTTTGTAAAGGTGAGCAGTGATGAGGTTAGGTCTGTCACAGTGATCACCCCCCACCGTCCTCGTCTGTCCACCTGCACAAGGCCTGGCTCGGCCGGGAAGAACTTTGTGTTGCATAAGAGCACCGCCACAGCTGCTGCAAAGTGACATTTAAATGAGCTGTCACCGCAAAAGAGATAGGGAGTAGGTGGGAAAACAGAAAGAGAAGGGCAATTGCAGGATAAAGCCAAGGCTTGTCAGGAGGTGGTAAATATGGCAAAATATTGTGAGAGGGGAACTTTAAGTCGGATTTATTTGTAACACGAAAATGACTTTGGGAGGAGAGAGGAACAGGTCAACCTGACACTTATACTTGATAATAAGAAGGGATCTGGCTTTGTATTAATTCCTGCACACAGTATCAACTTTTGTGCTTCATATAACTCAGTTGTTACCAGTTATTTGTGGATCTGTGCGCCATTGTACCATCGGGCTGGTGCCGTGTTCAAACATGTGCCCTCGACAGTGTATTGCTCTCTCTTACATAACAATAACAAACAGCTGACTACCAAAACACCATTATCACCATCCATCTTGCAACCCGGCCTGGTCTCACTGGGACGGTCAGACGCTGGACATGCCGCTTCAGAACAGGGACAGAGTCCAAGCCAGCCGTGGATGCACAGCTGACGGGCCACATGAGAGTATACAGACAGATGAAGAAGAATCTTATGTTCCACTTCAAAAGACTGTTGCTCCCATGCCACAGTTTCCATTGCTCAGTACGCTTAACTGAACGAAATTTTAAATATCATTGAAAATTAGAGTCTAGTTCACTCGTTTGAATTTATGTAACTTTATGAATAGCAAGCAACCTGACATGAGAAAGATGCATGTGACATTACATAAAACAGGCTTTAGGCTGGAACTTTATTTCAAGGTAACTTCACACCAAAACACAAACTATCGCATACTTGTATAAATCTTTCACATTTTCAGCAAATTGCTGAACAGGAAAAACATTCTTCCATCTCAGTCACGCAAACAACCAACTTAAAAATTCAACTTACAGTACTCGCATTGCATTTCTTTTTGCTATTCTTCAAATATTTTAAACCACATACAGATTCAAATGAGTTAAAGCAGTGATCATGCAAACACTCTTTCCTGTAAAACCTTTAGAGGAAAGTCTGACATCAGATCGGTGTGCTATTTATTCCGCGTTCTTACTGATCATATGATTGAATGAAATGAGTGCTGATAATCATAGGACAGAACTATAAAGAAGCATTGCTCAGAAGAACATAGTTACCCTGAAGGTTCGCAACACATGAACAATGAACCGCCTACAACCCCGATAACACTCTTTGGTGGAGAGAAAAAACACAGTTAATACTCATCCGTGGGATTCATTTCAAAATCTGCAAATCTCCTTTTAGAGTTCGGCCAGACTAAACAAAAAAGAGTCAAGCTAAATGAGAGAGGGGAATATTTTAGCCTAGAACTTCCAAAAAAGCAGCAACAACACTGTATGAGGCAACAAACACTTGAATAAGAGCTATGCAAAGCTGTCAACCAGGTCTCCAGGGTTGATGACTACTGCCCCCTGCTTTGTGTCTCTTATTACTGCAGCCCATAGATCTTGGGCTCAGTCGCTCAAGTTTTCATCATCTTTTTCGCTCTGCTCCTCCTCATCTTCCCCTCCTCCGTTCATGGCCCCTATCCTGGCCAGCAGCAGCGGCAGGTTTACGGAGAGACCCGGCGTCTCCTCGTCAGAGTCATCCTTTGGAGGGTAGAAGCGTTTTGCCTTTGCCACAAAATCTTCAGCTATGTCTAGGTACAGGAGACGATCCTGTAAAGAAGGAGAAAAACAACAGGCTGAAGCAAAAGAACGGAACCAAATATGAACACAGACAGAAAAAAAGGTGGGATTTTTGTTGTATCCATAATATGCCAACCTTTCTTTGTGATGATACAAAGCTGAATGAAATCTGAGTTTCTTTATTTTTTTTAAAAAAGCCGAATTAAATTGCAGCTTCCTACTCTTTTGATGTCACAACTTAAATAAAACTGATATTATTTGGACTAAACCACTTAACCCATCGTAACTCATTACAATCTACACTATAATGAGAGCTGGACAGCCTTGGCAATCTATTAAAGAATAATATCGATCATATTTGCCCATGAATGATGCAGTTTATCTACTTGTGACTCGAACTAAACAGGCAATAGCAAAGTTAATCTGATTTAGTATGAAGTCAAAGTTCAGTGATGGTGCACTTCCCACCAGCAAGCCCCGTTTTCTCACCAGGATGAAAAGATATCTTTCTGGTGGTGGTTCTTTGTTGCTGTTGAAGATGGAGGTCTCAGAGTGAAGTGTGTGAAGGAGGGCACGTGCTCTCGGGGCGTTACGCATGCGGTCATGTGAGCCCCCAGCAGACACAGCCAGCAGAGAGTCTGCTTCTGCCATAAAACCTGGAAAATATGGCAGATAATCTCAGCATGGATTGTTAATAATCTCTCAGACTATAGCATGTCTCATTGGTCAAGCCCCACCTAGATTTTCCAGGATTGTCTTCCATTTCTCTCTGACTTCTCTGCGTGTGTCTCTCATGGCCTCGATATCAACACTCAGGCGACGATAGCCCTGGACAAGAAAAGGAGAATAACCTTAAAAGGCATTTAAATTAACCGGATAATCAAATAACCTCCAAAAAGTACTCACAATGCAATGTAAAATGTTGCATTTCAAATGTAAAATTTGAACTGCAACTTATACAGTTATTTTTAAGCTATTTGTGTCAGATTTTCTTTTTTTCCACCTTGAAAAACACATTTTTGTTAGTCCCTGCCCCACATACCGTGGAGCCCATGCGGGTCTTCTGCCTGGCCTGCAGCAGAGAGTAGAGCACTCGGTCATCCTGTCTCTCCGAATGGCTGGGGTCTCCCGGCTCACTCCACAGGTTTGTTTCCTCATCTCGACGCTTCTGGACTTCACGGGTAAAATAGTCCAACGGATCCGCACTGTGCGGTCAGCCAACGCAGACAAGAAGAGACACGAGCTGTTAACACAAATTCAAACATTGGCTGTACGTGATATACATGATATGCTTGTCTGTGTCATCTTACGGTACTAAAGGCTGCTTTTCATCTTCTTCTTCTTCATCATCAGCAACACAGCAGCAGCAGCAGAACTGCATGCAGAACCTGTTAAAGGCTGAACCCATCTATTAAGAACAGAGTCAGCTGGTAGTGGATGTTCACAATGTCAGATAATCCAGAGAGAAGTTGTGTTTCAGTTCTTTCACAAGTGGAACGCCCTCTTGGATGCCAGAGGAGAATCTGCCACAGTCCCTGTGGGATGCTCTGTAGAGATTCTTTACAAAGCGGACCTTAGCCAAAACCTATATTTTGGCAAAGGAAAAAGCAGCTGTGACAACATTCAAGCCCTCCACTAATAAAAAGAACGAATAAAAATCATCATGAATAAGAACAAGTAGGAAAAAAGCTACAAAATAAAGGTCACAGATCTAAAACTCTACCAAGTTTTTAGCTTCCCATTTTCCAGGATTTCACTGAAGCGCCAAATTGACGAGAGGTTTTCCCTCCAGATTATTGGCCTGATGGAAAAGTGCTCAGGCAGATGACGGCAGCCCAAGGACCGATGCTTCTCATCAGCTTTACATGGAGGACAACAAGAGCAGTGGGACGCTTGTGCTCTCATCGAAACAAAAAGAAACACAAATTCCCACACCCACATCCTCAGAAGACAGTCACAGCACAATCATGTGAGCTGCTTCATCTCTCAAGCAATGTGTTTTGCCCCAAGGACAGCAGATCTCTTCTGCAGCAGTAAGATTAATTGCACTCCATATCAAGTCTGCCGTTGCAGTGTCGATTCAGGGATTATGCAACTGGATTATTTAGCATTACTTAATCGTGTTCTGTGTTTAAATAAAAAGTTTCTTTGGGGAGTATCAGTTTATTTTTGAAAACTTTTGAAAACGCTTCATGCTTATTTTTGATTAAGTCACACAGAGAACAGTGACCTCTGGCAAAGTTCTGTGAGTGCAGCAATGAATATCATGCAAGGCTGCAGAAACAGGGCGTTATTATTCATAACATAAGCACCCACAGAGAAACATATGGGTAGAAGCTACTCTTGTGTGTATGTATGGATGGATGCAGGGATGGATGGGTAGATAGATACCTTTGTGGTTATCTATCTACCTATGTTAAAAAAATATATTCAAAAATAAGAGCACAAGATTTATACAAGTTAATACAGATACTGGTTAAATATGTGAGTTGAAGGAAGTCAGAGCTAGATCATCTTTTCATATATTTTATTAGATGTAAGACACTGTTTAAGACTCAGTAAAAAATCTTGTCCAGTAGTGATGAGCATAAATTAAAATGTTTGTATAAACAAATCAATTTAAAATTATAAAAAACACAGTTAAGTATTCTAAGCAGGGTTTATGTAAATAATCTTTGTGGAGGATACGAAAGCACAGACATAACAGCAGGAAATAAATGGAAAAGTAAAACAAAAGACTGGCATGTAAAACTACTCTGATAAAAGGCACCAAATTATTGATATCATTATTTATTTTCACTTCCAACATTCCTTCAGTACAGTAAGTATTGTAAATGAGTCCTGATTTATTATCCAGATAATCTTAATAAACTTGTTTTTTAGGGCTTAATGATTTCTGAGCGTGACTACATACACAAGCTTATGAAGAGTAATGCCTCACAGTCGGTGGTGTAACTGTGACACCCACACAAGTGTTATTACCGTTACACCAATATAGAAAAGTTCAGGGAAGACCAGCGCCCTCTTCAGGTCAACTTCACAATAACTTCAACCAACTTCATCTTTTAAATTCTTTTGATTCCAGATGTAATCCTAAAAATTGATCTTCTGAGGTACATCATAACACTGATACACAACTTAAGCTGCAGGGAATGTCTTCTCTTTTTTTTTTTCATGATTAAAAACATTAACAAAACTTCATTCAGTGCCACACCTCAGGCCACAGGGGGCCTAATCTAATTATAGCAGTATAGTAATAACCTTTCATGACAAATAAGTCGAGCTACTTCAACACAAGGCCACTTGAGGTTATTGGCAAAAAAATATATATTAGTATACAGCACCCTAACCTATGAACATTATCTTTTGTACTAACTGTCTAACAGCCTGCTGATCCGGGTCCTGGTTTGAACTCCTGGCTGATCCCAAAGTGCAAAACAAAAGCAGCATTTAAAACAAAACAAAAAAAACAAAAAACATACAGTAATTAAATGTTTGCTTTAATGTTGCACTATGGCACAGAAGCTGGTGTCAAACCAAGAACGCTTCACTGTGTGGATCAGTGGTGTCTCCCTCTAGTGGTGACCAGATAGCAGAGAGCCCCCTGTAATGTATCACAGTGTAGTAAAGTAGAAGAAACTGTGTAGAAATATGGCTGTGAAGTGCAGGCAGGTGCCTCAGAAAAACAAATCCATGACGGTGCAGTGAAAAAATACACACACACGCACGCCCGCACGCACGCACACACACACACACACACAAGAAAAAGCAGTAAATCAATGACTAACAATGTGTGCAGAAAGATAAGGCTCAGAGAGACAGCTGTTTCAGTCATACTACTGTTATAGCTATTCTGTAACACAGATTCCAACATTGGGAATCACTTTTTTATCCAGGTCTTGTTTCTGTAAAGTCTCAGAAAACAGTTTTCATTACATGGCGAGAAACATAGCAAACGGGTTACAGGTCCATGCAAAAATTTCCGCTTGTGATTACACTTAAACTTCCCCAAAATGATAGAAAATGTTTAGTCTTTGATATCTGAATAACTCCTCACTTTGTGTGGCTGAAACATGGGAAATGTCTCCATCTCCTTTGCTTAAAGTTGCAACCTTGTCAGGTACATAATTGCATCCCTTCAGCTTGGGAGCATTCAGCGGACGCCGTGATGGCCAGTTTTGGCTAGTGACCTTTCAAGTGACCACTTAAAACTTCTCTCTAGTTTTGAGAGTGGTGGTGGTGATGGTGGTGGTGGGAACGATGAGAGGGCCGCACGTCGATAATTCGTTGGCGTAAATGGGACATGAACTCAAACATTGTGGCTGCCAGACTCTGGTGGATGAGGTAGCGTGGCAGACGGCCCTGATGAAACAAAAAAAATTGCTTTTTAATATTTGTATTACATTTCATATTCCTTTGTTTTTGATCCTTATCTCACCTATATCTGTTACATTTGGCCTTTTTCCTGCACACTTTCTATTTATACACACACACACCTGTTCAACTGCTCGTTAACACAGATATCTAACCATCAATCACATGGCAGAACTTCAGTGCATTTAGGCACGTAGACATAGTAAAATGCTTATCTGCTGGGATTTTCCCACATAATCATCTCTAGAGTGGTCCAAAAAAGAGGAAATGTGCAGTGAGTGGCAATTCTCTGGGTGAAAATGCCTTGTTCATGTCAGAAGCTAGTAAACTTTTTTAATCTGGTGGGAAGGAAGGCTAAAAACCAAGATAATGAGACTGGAAAAACATTGCCTGGTCTGATGAGTCATGACTTCTGCCACAATATTCGATTGTTAGAAAAATTCCAGGGTGGTGCTCGGGTAACAATGTGGGTTTAATGTCACTGCTTAAGTAATGTTGACCACAGTATAACCATCTTCAGACAGCTGTTCTCAGCATGATAACGTACTATAACACAAACTGGTTTTATATGTGACGCTATCATGTAAAATGGTCCCAAATCTCTGAGGAATGTTTTATGCACCTTGTTGAATCTATGCCATGAAAAATTAAGGCAGTTCGGAAGGCAAAAGGGGGCCCAACCTGCTGCAGTGTCCTGCTACAAAAATCATTTAGAAAACAACTTCTTTCTAATCGTACAAAGGGAAAGAACATCTTGAATATTGTAAAAATAAAGAAAATTCAAGAGTAATTCCATCATGTGTTTTCACACCTTTAAGTCTGTGTTGAGGACCCAGATGAAAGTGCAGATGGATGGGTTACTGCTGGATTTGAGGACCACAAAACCTCCGGGCCCATTTTCTCCTCTGAGACCAGCAGTAAAGGAAAAAAAGACAAAGTTATACAAGTTAAACTAACACAGATGCCCTTTGTCAAACCGATACAATGTTCTAATTTACTGGATCAGTGACAAGGCCAGAGGCAAGGTCTGACCTGACATAGCGATTGCTTGGAGGTTTGGCATCGTGGTTGGTTGCTATGCCAGCAGACAGGTAACAGTCTCGTTTGCGCTCCACTCGGCGAACATTAACAAAGTCCCTGAAGGAAGAAAAATCAATCACCCAATAAACACACTTTATTCAGACCTGAAGAAAAGAAACGATACAGATGGGACAGCAAGAACAGATGACAGAAAGAAAAGTCGGTAGGATGTTGTGCTGATGTACCTTGCAGAGACAACTCCCCCTGCTGCTCCAGCAGATACATCATATGAGACAAGAGTGTTGTCGTCAACTCTCTGAAGGATCTGAGTATAAGACGGGAAGAGATATCAAGCTGTAGCACGCCACAGGATTACAGTGAAAAATGTGCAAAAACAGCAGGAAGACTTCTGACCTGGCAGACAGAAACTGTTTTGTTCCACTGAACCATCTTCTCCGGCTGCAGGATCACCTCCTGATACACAAGCTCAGCAGGACACTGCATGAGGGCCTGAAGAGGAGAAAAAAACAAGGCTGTAAACTAATGTCCAGCATAGCCTACAGTTACAAGAAAAAAATGTCTATAAGACATGACACCTAATTGCTGTCTGCATGTACTTTGGGCTATTTTCTACCCCTTTCTTTGGGGTCCTTAGGGACTAAGTAAAGCACTATACAAATACAGGCCATTTACCATTTACTTTCTGTTGCAGATGATATGAAAATATCTAAAGCTCTCTTTTCTGTATGGTGCACTTTTTCCCTCCGAAGCAAAGGTCAGAACAGGCCTTACTTCACTAATGTGTAATGGCCTGTCTGACTACTTTCAAAACAGGATCTTGTGTCTGTTTATGACCATTGTCTTGTTGGAAATCCCTATTATGTAATCTTTACTTCTACAAAGAGCGTTTTGTTTCAGTGACGGTTGTTCCATGCCAGCGATGCAAATTTTGTCATCGAAAACTAGTCAAGAGGTTCTATGTGGAAGTCTACATACCCTCTATATATAATATATAATAAGAACTGTTGCAGCAACTTTTCTTTAGTGTCTGCAGCTATCAATAGACACATCTAAAAGACACTTTAATCCTGGCCTTACATCATTCATTTTACTTTCCATTTTGTTCATACAGTATATGGCGTTTTAATGTGCCTATCTAGCTTGGAAGGAAAAGCAAGATTGAAATAAGTCTGCCAGATAAACATCACACTGAAACACAAGAGTAGTGTGTCAAAGAAAAAATAAATTTGAGATGATAATAATAAATGCACAGTTGTAAACCTTAGAAAACAAAGTCCCTTCAGTTATGAGGTCTCCAATAAAGAGCAAATTTATTTACGCCTCTGAATTCCTTAATGGGAAGTTGTATGCACATGAATCAGCTTTTTCTGTGCAAGGCACCAAGTCTCTGTTGTATCGAATTGGATTTAGCATGCAATTATTGATTATTTCAGCAGCAGAAACTGTGCAAATACAGGCCCATCAGCTGCAAGAGAACTTGATCCATTTGTAGCAGAGTGTTAAGAAGAAGTGTGACAGCTAACGGATTCAGAGCCTGTTCTGCTCTTTACGCTGACATCTATAATAATGGAGTCCAAGGCAATATGAGTTGTATATGTAAAAAGACCAGGGAGGCTTGAAAACATATCTGAATTCACCCTATTAACAAATGCAGCCTATCTAAACATGATGAAAATGTAGCATCTCTCTGTTTATCTCTCTATTTGGTGAGATACTGAATACACTAGAAGACTGTTGCACCTTGAGGATGAAAGTCTTTCCATGGAAAGGAACTTCCAGACTGTAAACTGAGTCGCCCATTTCCTGTCATGGGAGGTGAAAAAAAGACACAGTATTACTGACACTTTCACTTTCATTTGAGTAAAAACAGTTATGAATTAATAACGCAGGAATAATAAACTACTAGTAAGACAGGTAATGTAGTTTTCATTGTAATTAAAAGAGCTGATACAGAAATACACCTCCTACAGAGAAAAATGCTGCATTGCTAAAATTAGGTTTCAGTTGGGTGTTGTGGTGCCAACATACCTGTTTGATTACATTCTTACCTTAATAGTGGTTCTATGAGAGTTTAAAGGGATTTGATTGTGGGGCCTTTATTTTCCCCTCAAAAAACAGCTTTTAATATAGTGTGTATACCTGCTCAGGGTGGAAATTAGCTACAGTTCTGAGTAAAAGTCTTGAGCCTCCTCTCATTTCTGTATATTTAGCAAGGAAAATTGGAAATGGGTGCAGCGATTTAGTGAAACCAGATGCTTTTACCAAACTGGCAGTGTGTTTTTTTTATCATTATCATGCTGGAAAATGAAGCCTTTGTCAGTCAGATGCTTTTTAGCTTGTATTTCATGTCAAATCGAAATCTGATGGCACTCTTCTAGGTTCATAATTTTAACAAGATCCCTGAGACCACTGGCTGAAATGATAGAGAACTCACCATGTTTCACAGATGGCTGTAGACACTCCCTTTTCTACCTCTCTCCCGACTTCCTCTGTACATATTGACGACTATTTGAATAAAAATTTTCTAATTTGGATTCATCACTCCATGGGACTTGTTGCCACTGATGTTCAGTCTAGTTCTTATGTAATATGTCATACCTCGGCATTTTCTCTCTGTGCTCCTTCATTAAAAAATGGCTTCCTGACAGCCACCCTTTGACTGAGACAGTTTTGGATGAAACTTTAGTGATCAATTGAAAAGCAAGCTGCATCTCTGAGGTCATGAGTCAGGTCTTTGTTGGATTTTTTCCTGTTTCTTAAGAACATGACTTTCACATGTTGATCATATGATGTAAACACTTTGTTTTAGGGTTGCCACTTCTTCTTTTGCCTTCTACAAGAAAGTTTTACTCATCGACTGCAAAATATAAAGACACGAGGGATGGTTCAAGACGTTCCCACAGTACTGTAGTAGCTAAATCTGACAAAAGGTATTGCCTATTTTATGAAATCAGTGCTTTTGTGCATCACTTCTCAAATATAAAGAAGAGAAGAAATTTAAAAAAAAGAAAGAAACAATTAAACTGCTGCTTGAGATGGCTGGCTCCTGTGCTTTAGTCATTTTTTGTAACCTGGCGTGTGTAGGAAACTGCAGGATCAGTATCTTTCAGTATCTCTGTCGGTTATATCTGTGATTCACAGTTCATTGTTGCTTATCAGCTGCCTAAAATAGAAATGAGGCCATTAAAGTACCATCTCTATTGCTGATCGCAAGAACTATAAGGGACACTTTGATAGGCAATTGAATCTTTAAAACCAAAAAAGTAATTAGGTGTCACAGTGAAGACAATAGTATTGATTACAAGTTTTCTATGAGATATGTTTGTGTTAAAACAAAGGCACCCTGAACACTCTGTCTGTCATAAAAAGAATGCACGAGGAAGCAATGAAATCTGCGTCAGTGATATGATCTTTTAGTTATGTAAGCAAACGTCTTAACTGTGCATTCAAACGTGAACAAGACAGGAAAGCTATTCATTCAGTGGATACATCCTGGAGTCATGTACTCACATTGTGTTTTTCAAATTTCCAGTTTTCCTCCTGGGCTAGGATCTGTTCCACCACAGACATTGCCTCATAACCCTGTCTCACATACTCCTTCTCCTGGAATAAGAGTGAGAGGAGTGAGAAATGAAGCAGAAAATCATCATCAGAACAGGAGTCAGTGGGGCTGATTATAAAGAGTATAACAAAAGCTACCTGAGCAGTGATAGCTCTACGCCCAGGACCCTCCTCATCAGGCTCCTCGTCAGAGTCTGCAGACACAAGTTCAAGACCATAACTCTATTTTTGGGTTAAATATGAAATGTACAATCATAATAGAGATAATAAAAAACCCTAACTAAGAAACCACTTGCACAAACATTCACCTGCGACAGATTCAGGTGGAGAGTAGAACTGTCCATCTGAGACAGCGTGAGAGTAAATTGGGGCTCGTTCACAGGCAGCATTCACTGCTGCTACGTATGCTGAGGTCACAAAAGAAAAGAAGTTAAGAATCAGACAGCTTTGTGTAAGCAGCATTTGAACTTATCGGGCACTGTTATCCTACCTCTTTCATCATCAGTCTCCTGAGGGAGAACTTTGAAGTCAAGGAACCAGGTCTCCAACCAGGCGACCACAAACGAGGTGATGGGCAGAACATAGGCAAAAGCATTTTGCTTCTTCAAAATAGAAATCAAAGACTATTTTTACTACTTCGGCTTCTAAAACAGATGAGTGTGCTGCATTTGATGTTGGTTCACTTCCCTAATGTCAAATGTGAAAAGTTTACAAAGCTACATAAACTAATTTTGAACCACTGCAAAAAATGAAATCACATAAAGTCTTATCAGCTCAGACTGTGAATAACTGCCTTTGAATGCAGAAGTGAAAAAGTGGAAGTGGTTTAAACTGATATGCTTGCAAACCGTTCACATAGACAAATACAGGCTCTGAAAGTGTTAGAGTAGCAAAGAGAGGACACTCACATTCGATATGATAACTTTGACAACGAGGAAGATGGTTGTTACCAGAGTGGTAATCTGAAGAGTTTAAAAAAAATGTTAAATAGCTCATGTCTGGCAAATAACATATAAGACTTTACATTATCTATTCAGTGTGTGTTTAACTGTAACTGAGATGACTTACCGCAATAACCCACCAATGCCTCAACCGAAAACCAGCATAGGCCACTTGAAGACACAGGAAACGAAACAAGGCAAGGAGCTGAGACAAGGAAGAAGAAGCAGAAAAAGAAAATGACTTTTCATTTTAATTACATGTTGACGTTGCAAATGATTTCCCCTTGTGTGTCTATAATGATTCAATCTGCCAACCCAAAAGGAGGAATTACAAGAGCAGGTTACACATAAGTAACTGCTCATTGTGATCAAAGCATGATTGAAATAACGTGGTAATAAATGACCCATCATTTCAACACTGAATGCAAATAAACACAAATTTGGATTGACCCACTTACAGTAATGTCAAAGAAGGATGACTTGAAGTTATAATGGACGACCTCGTTCTCTAAACTCTCCCTAAGTGAGTTTGACATCTGCAGAAGAAGAGGGCAGAGATCACATCAAACCAAGAATTAACCATTAGTTCTGCAACAGCAACAAGAACAGTGAAAGCACACACTCACGTTAAGCTCAATAATCCAGAGAAGGGTGATGAAGAGAAGGTCGAAGGTCACAAAGAGACAGAAAGTGCGCCGCACGTCAGAGATCTTCTTGCGCTCTGCAGGTGGTGTCAACAGGTACGGGGATGGGATGGACATCGATGTAGAGTAGGAAGCATTCAGGGAGGCGATGGCGGGGAGGCTGCCCCCGAGCTCCCCATAGGCTCCACCATGCATTCCTGCTGTGACACAGGAAAATCCACCTGCAGCAAAACAGACATAAGTGGGTGGTTGTCATGTTTAGCGCTGCTGCTACTTCTTCTTCTTCTTCTTCTTCTTCTTCCGGCTGCTCCCTATTGGTCATCAAAGCAGATCATCTGCCTCCATCTCACCTCCTCTGTCGCGGTTGCCCTCTACATATCCTCTTTCACTACAGCCATAAATCTTCTTTGTGGTTTTGCTCTTCTCTTCTAGTCTGCCAGCTCCATATTCAACATCCTTAGTTCAGTATATCCACTATCCCTCCTCTGCACATTTCCAAATCCTCTCAGCCTTGCCTCTCTTACTTTGCCTCCAAACCGCTCCACCTGAACTCATTTCTCATCTTGTCCATTCTGGTCACTCCCAACAATAGAATATTAACATCTTTAACTCTTCCACCTCCACCTACTGTGTTTTTGGGGTTGTTTTTGTTTGGGGTTTTTTTTTTTGGTGAAAACAGCAGACGATAACTAGCCTTCAGTGGAGTCTCGTGATCTCCTTTCACCTCCCTATGGTGAAGACAAACAGCAAGCGTTGCTAGTTTTGCCTTATTTTACAAGAACAAACAGCCTGTGTGTTTGTGTTAAACGATGAGTGTTATATCTGATCTTCCGCCAAAAGCTTTTTAAAATGAACGACTCCAACGTTAATACTGCGTAAAGCATGTGACGTGACTTCTTGAAAACAAGTCTGTAGTCACGAATCATTAGCTGAGGGACATTTCTGGTGTGACATCAGAGTCTGGGAGAACAATTCCCACGAAGCAGGAAGACAGCGGGTTTTATTACACCACTGAGCCATTATTGAGCCGGAGGTGAGTTTCAATCACCTCTGGACAAACTCCGTAACATCGGTACACGTTGACAGGTAGATGTGATCAAGCATGTCTTATCTATTAACCGAAAGAACATCAATTAAGTTAACAAACCGCTAAAGCGGAGTTTAAAGTCAGGTTAAGATCCCGTGACTCCCCTAGCCTGTTCACTTGTGCCAAAAACAAAACAGCCTGAAGGTCCGGGAGCTAATTCCTGTTAGCAAGCTAACTCAACGCTGTCAAACTGTCAAACACAAGACACGAAGGCAATAATGTCAGGGAACAATAGCTAGACTCAAGTCTTTCTTCTAGAAAAGCACGGACTGGATAATTAAGAGATAACCAATAGCCAATTTTGTTAGCTGCCGCTTAGCTTACACTGTTCGCTTCGATAACAAGTTGGTCTCACTTGCGGAGAAACAAATACACTCCTCAAACGTAACGAACCGGGCACGCTAAGCAACACTGCGAAACTTGGCAGAAATCCTTCCTTAAGTATTTCATAAAGAAAACTCAAGGTATTGAACTTACTTGATTTACAGTAGCATCATCGCTTTACGAAGTCTTCCGGGCTGACCTTCCAAAGAAGAAGTATCACAACAAGATGAATCGCTCACCCGCCGGGTGTCACGTGATCACCATCGCAACTCTCTCCCTGCCACCTGCCACACGCTGAAGTTTCACCCTAGGCTTTTGTATTCGTGTGTGTGTGTGTGTGTGTGTGTGTGTGTGTG